CCTATACACATACAGCACAGCAATGAAGTAATAAAATGAACTAGGATCACACTAATCCAGCACGTTATTATTCTGAGTTGCCTCACTCAAATGGCGGCCATATTGAGTGGGGCACGTGAGATTAATAACGTGCTGGATTTTAATCAGTAACAGCCCTATTTTTTTCTTTAAATTAAAAACATACCTTAAGGCTGGCTTTCCACCTATATGTGTTATTCACAAACTGCAGTGTGGTGAGTTGCAGAAATGAATGGCACCCCAACTAACCTTGCGAGTGCATCTGAATGCACACAGCAATACACAGATACCTGTGTTTCCCCGAAAATAAGACACTGTCTAATATTTTTTGTGGCTCAAAAAAAACACACTAGGTCTTATTTTCGGGGTAGGTCTTTTTTTTTTTAATGTATAACAATCCAAAGTTAATGCAAATCCAAATTAAATAATCCAAAATGGCAAAGTTAAGAATAGGGTGATCAGTGTACTCAGGGGTGCCATACGTTTCCAAGAGCAATTTGGTAACCAGAATGAGCGAAGCGCACTTTCACTATAGATTCGTCACAGGCAGAGTGCATTTGGTATCACTCTGCCTGTTACAGGAGCCGGTGCTATAGAGGAAACATCGGCTTATGTGGCTCTGTTCCCTGTGCTGCGGCCTCACTTCCTCTAGCGCCGGCTTCGCTGGTACCGCTGATTCTCTCCCACAGCTCTTCAAGTTTCCCCTTATGCCACCACCGGCCTTGGAATGGTCATAACTAGGTGTTATTTTCGGGGTAGGTCTTATATTTTAGCAATTCCCAAAAATGGTACTAGGTCTTAATTTCGGGATAGGTCTTATTTTCGGGGAAACAGGGTAGAAACCATATGTGTGTTGTGGTTTGCTGCACTGAACAAATGCACATATTAAAAGGCATTGTGCTGTGTTGGCACTCCATTCAAAAGGAATGCAGTGCCTTAACTTAAAGCATAGTATAACACATAATAACGCACGTTATACGGAACTGTCACTTTGCACATTCAAAGCAAAGTGAGAGTGTCTGTGAAAAGTACACACACACCTCTTTCCAATGATCCACCACTGCTTCTTCATTTATTGCAGCTGCTAATGAAATACCCAGTGTCGGAGTCTAGAGGGAGCAGTCACATCTTCCTTTAGCGATTGGACCCTAGACCAGAGCACTATCACATGGAAGGAAGCAGGCGCGGTGAGGGATCACTGAGTGATGATAAATATTAAAAGAGAACTATGGGCCAACCTTTTTTGGCCATAGTTCTCTCCAGGGTCACAGGAGGACATATACTAATATCCTCTGGTGACCCAAAGCTCAGTATGTAGCAGGCTATTGCTGAGAGTGCAGAGCCATGCGCAGCCAGGACGTATTCTGACAATACTGTAGAGATCCACCTCACTGGCTGATTGACAGCTGGCTCTGCCCGCCTCGTCATCTGTGCGTTCCTCCAGGCAGAGCTGGAGAAAGGGAGAGGGGAGGGGGAATCCCTGCGGACAGTCACCACTCTCTGCAGGGAGAGGATCGGGAAGTCAGCGATCAGCAGTACGTGTTCGCTGCCTTTTTGATCAATAGAGTCGACCTATGACAGCTTCAGTGTCACAGGTCAGCTTGAATTACGGGGGATGAGTGTTTTTGGGGTACAGTGTTGCGTCACAAAGTAATTGTCAGCCAAACTATCACTAAAATGGCTGGTACTGAAGTGGTTAATTAATCTGCCACAAGCAAGAGTTGCACGAACATGTATAAACCTCAGCACAATCTCATTTAAAAAAAAATGAAACTATTTAATTACTTATGCTTTTCTGCATACAGAATACAGAGAGAGAGCTAAGACTTTTTTGAGGCTGAGTTACAGTACTTAAAAAAAAAAAAAACTACCCTTGCAGTGGGGTTCCTCCGAATTGCAAGGGTTAAATGATTAAGTCTAGTGGTAGATGAACAAGGTGTAATACTTACTTTAGTCCTCGCTCTGGCAGGCTCCCTTCATCTGTGTGCTGGTTGCAGATTGACCATCAATTATAATGCAGGGCCAATAGTCCTTCATCGTACATGAGAACGGCAAGGGCCTGCCCACAACACAGAGAGCTGGAGAGAAGAGGAGAGCAATGGAGCAAGGAATAAGGTACACCTTATTACTCTACCCCTACACTTAATTAGCATTTAACTTTTGCAGACGAGCTCCATTGAAATAGTTTGGGACTACTTAATAGCCAGCAACTATTGAGACTTTGACACGTTGGTCTGGAGTAAATACTGTACAATATAACATAAAGAGTGCAGGGGCCAGGAGTACATTACACAAAAAGTGCAGTGGAAAGGAGTATGTAATGTACAAAGCACAGGGGTCAGGAGTATGTAACACATAAAGTGCAGAGGACAGGAGAATGTAATACACAGAGCATGGGGTTTAGGAGTACATAATGTACAGAGTGCAGGGCTTAGGAGTACATTACACACAAAGTGCAGGGGTTGGGAGTATGTAATGTACAGAGAGCATTGAACAGGGGTATGGACAGGGCCGGATTTCCCACAAGGCTAACCAAGGCCCGCCCTCGGGGCAGCAGGGGTGTGGAATTCCTATCTCCCGATGACCGCGCAGGTAGTTATTTTCTACATTTAGCCCTGCTTTGGGCAAGCAGAGCTAAATGTACAGCGGGGAAGCCGCCACTTGTTTTGTACAAATTATCTCGGCGACATTGTATGCAGCCTGCAGGTCTGCCATTCTCCATAGGGTAGGGGTGTTTGGCGGGTGGGGGGGGCAGTAGAGAGAGTAAATCCGGCCCTGGGTATGGAACGAACAGACTGCAGGGATCAAGAGTAAGTAACGCAGAAAATGCAGGGGGTCAAGAGTAAGTATTGCAAGGAGAGAAGGGGCCAAGAGAATGCAATGCACAGAGCTCATAGGTCAAAGATAAGTAATGGCCTCCCTTTCTATCACCTCTGACCCATATAATAGGCAACTAATTGCCCAGTTTAGAAAGCAGGAACTTCCATCGCCTACTTAAGGCTGATAAATACAGGCTATGGTTTGAACCGTTGGCTCTTGCAGCAGGAACTTGTGTGCCATGGTGTAACCTCCTCTCAACCCCTGGAGCTCATAATCAGCTTTTACATTTTCTACTGGCGGTACCCTGGTCTTAGGACCCGACCAGACCCCTTACTGCTTAAATGGGAGGCTGAACTAGACCTGAAGTTAACTGCCCAACAAAAAGAGTGCATCTTACCTATTGTGCATAAATCCTCCATTGCAAATAAATTATAGGAAATGGGATACAAAATTCTATTTGGGTGGTATAAAGTCTCATGGATATTACACAAAATTAACAACTCACTCCCTTCAGTATGCTGGAGATGTGGCTCTGATTCTGGCACCGTGACTTATTTTTTGGTCCTGTTTGAAACTCCAACCCTTTTGGAATGGTGGATTTAGGGCACAACCCAGCTGCTTGTTTACTCCAGATGACAGATTGGCCCATCTCTAAATATAAATCCTATCTCACTGCACATTTTATTGATGCAATGTGGAAAAGTTCAGTTCTCCACTTGGAGACACTTGATCAACACTTACAGGTCAAGGGAACCGGTGAACTGAAGTTTATTAATTCCTTGAAAGATTATGACAATATTGAGACTCTTGATATGCGGGACACAGCCCCACCTGGGACTTCTTTTTCTGGGGATATGGCCTTCCGCCCCTTCTCCCCATCTTTCCTTCCATTACCCTGGTCCTTCCACTGCCCTGGTCTTTCCTCTTCCCCTGCTCCAGCTCGGTCCTCCTTGCCGTCCCCTGATCTACAACCCGGACCTATGACTCTTCTCTGCCACGGACATGTGATAATATTCATGGATGTAATACTGCCATCTAATATCCTGCATTCTCTCTAATATGGCATTTCATCTCAGATAGATGGTTGTACTACTGCTCTTGTTTTCAAATTTTCTTACGACTGCACTTGAAGTTATTGTATACAATTTATGATATTAATCATCTCCAGCTGTTTTGGTATTGTATGTGTTATTAGCTATATCACAACTAATAAAGAATTTTAGAAGAACGTAATGCACAGAGCACATTAATACTTTTTTTCCCCAAGCAAACCCCCCCCCTCCTGCCATTACAATCACCCCAGGACAAAACTGCACCAGCAGACATTCCCCCCTTCCTCCCTGAAATATACTCACTTTGGTGTTGCTATACATATATTGATGAGTGCTACAGGTTCCGATGCTGCAACTGCCAGTATTTTTTTCTTTGTAATCCAGTGGCCATAACTTGGCAAACCTACCGTCATTCTAGTTAAGTTCTTTTTTTGGTTTAATGTAAGAAAATAATTTACTGGGTATAGGATCCAGCCATACAAATATTTATATAATAGTAGACACTGAAAGAGGCTAAGCTGTACTGCATCAGGTGTTTTGCAAGTCAGCATATAGCTGCTTCAAATTAACTGCAGGAGTAGTGCTTTGCTTCGGTTAAGAAAGCGGCCCAGTTTCTTAGCACTTCCCTTGGCTCTGTGCTACTGGTCTGAGAGGTGGAGGACGGGTTGGCAGGTGGGGCCAGAAGCTGGCAGCTGCTAAAGCATACCAATAACATTTTTTAAAAAGCATCAGGGAGCGGTTTGATAATTCCACTAATGGACTGATAATGTACATGCTTTTCAGCCGTGACAACGACTGTACAGGCAGGCACTTTGTACCTCAGCATGTACAGCCGTGATCCATCTACAGGAGCGCTGAGAAGGCTGACAAAGCTCTGCTGTATTGGAGGCAGCTCAGTGAAGCTTGTCACCTTGAAAAAGGAAGTGTTCTTCTCACAGCAACAACTGGTAGGATAACCAGGTAATATTGATGGCATTGCAATATAAAACAATACAAAAGACTTATGTGCAGGAAATAGTATGTTTTGAGTAAATATAAGATCTGTAGGAAAGACTACCGAGCAAGTGAGCGAGTGGTAAAAGATTGGCTGAACACATTTTGAACCCTTACCTGTTTGAAGCAGGCTTCTACCAGATTAGGAGGAAACATATTCCTTTAGAAAAAGAGAAAAAAAATAGTTATAATATAGAACAAAAATATGTCCTGTCAATGGTGTATTTACAGACAAAGAATACAACTAGAATTTTATTGTGACATCCAACATACGAAACTTTATGGCAACTTGTGATAGTCTGAGAGCAGTACATATAGTGAATGAATGACTGGATTCTCTCAGTTATGTTATCTACACCAGAGGAAACACCAGTCTGCAATGTATAACAAAGTCTCTTTCTATAAAAATTTCCATCTGTGTTCTGTATTAAGGGCTGGTTCACACCACCTCCAAACCGGTGCATTTTCTATCTGCACCAAAAATTACATAGTAATTCCAATGGTTTTAAATGGGGCTAGTTCACACCATTAGGTTCAGTTCCAGAACAGTACAGCAGCATGCTTTTTTTTTTTTGCACTAGAACGCACAAAAACACATATAAACACACCAGAATGTACTTGAATCCAAGCAAAAAAAAACCCGCACTGGAATGCTTTAAAAACACACATAAATGCATATGCAGAAACACCTCCATATCTGGTCTGGAGATGGTGGGAACAAGCCCTTAAGACCTACAATGACGGATTAGGAAAGTATTGTACAATGCAATACATTGTTCCAAAACATATGTAGTTTGTAGGATGTGCTCTACCAATGGCTTCTATATGTTATGAATAGGATCTCACGTGAGTCCTTTTAAATGGTTCTTGTTCATGCTCTTCATTTTAATAGACATGGGTAAGTACTGAACACAGTAGTCTACACACTTACTTTGGTCAAACTTTGCTAACTTTCATAAAATTCTTGCTGGGAGTCCAAACCAAAAAATTAAAGTGGCACTGCTGTGACATTTAGACATGTAAGCCAGCAAAAAATGTGTTTTCTTTCGTGTCCATTTGGATTTAGTTTTGTTTTAGTGATATATATTTCGGATCCACTCATGATTTGGATTCTGAACAGATCGAGCGACGGGGATTTTTTTTTTTCTTCTTTCGGCGGGTGTCAGGATTCCAGAAATTAGGATGATTTACATAGCTGGATGAATTTACATCGTGGGACTTTTTTTGTTAAATAACGGATTTGTCAAAAACCGCGTAGCGTTTTTTAAAAACTATTTCTGTTGATGGATTGGAAAGGGGAGTGCATGCTGTTTTTTTTTATTTTAACCAATAACAACAGTCCAAATGGCATTTGGATGCAATCGGATTCGTTTGCATTCAGCATTTGTTTCATTCGGAAATTTGGATGCATCCGAATGCCCGAATTCATGAAAATTTGCACTGCCAACAAACACAATTTACATGTCTAGTGACATTGTACAGAGTATAGTATTTATTATATGACATGCTATGTATACTGTTACTATGCTACTCAAATAATGGATGTAGTCAAATATTTTATATTTTTAGGTTATCACAGGAAGACATTTGGAAACATAACAGACAATGGTGCCAAGCAATTTACTAGATTTGCTAACTGCCAGAATTGGTTTATCCAGGAAAAATGGGTTTTACCAAGTACATAAAGTCCTATAAGATGAAGGTACGTTATGTCATAGTGTATCTTGTTTTAATAATCTATCAGCCCGATTAAAAGAAACAATGAAATCAGACCACTAATACTGTGAGTGCACAAATGGACTTTCTTGACCTTTTATCAATAATTTGTAGGCGTTACAGTTAATGGTGTTCCAAGAAGCAGCGCTGTTCCAGGTTGGCCTACGTTCCACCGCCTAGCAGGTGCCAGCCCAGCTCACCTCTGGCAGGTATTTGAAAGGTAAAAAGGACAGTGGCACTTCAAATGTATATATGCAGCTTCTTTTTATTTAATATAGATTAGGCATATCCAGGAAACAAGTTTTGCTAACACTCTACTCTATAGGTTGAACTAGATGGACTTGTGTCTTTTTTCAACCTGACTATGTAACACGTTTCAAGCAAATATGCACTTAATCGTTGACTAAGCACATGTTTGCATAAAATGTGATAGGGATGCTTGTCTTGATGTTTTCTGGATAGGCCTAATCTATCAAAATAAAAATAAATCACATTAACATTTTGAGTGCCTCTATCCTTTTTCACTTCTAAAGTTAATGGCGTTCAACTAGCCATAAACTGGGTATTCTCGAATAACCCTCTTTAAAATCATATCCTCCCCTTGCCTCCTAAGTTGATCCAGAGTAATGCACACTAGAAGCCCCAAATCTAAAAAATGTAGACAAAAATGGGACAACTTGGGATCACACAATAAATACATATTTTCACTGCATTTTAAATGTGATAAAGTAAGCTAAAGTGTGAGATAAACAGGTATTATCAGGACGTTCAGGGGGAAAAAAATGTAATGTGTAATGATGATGAAAAACAGTTTTTGTAATCATATTCCTGCTAACAGTTAATTAAAAGCAACCAATAACCTTATATTTTCTTGTCCATGCTATCACTACAATTTTATTCCTTTAGTTACATACTGTACATATCCAGATTTCCTTTTACCTTATTAGATCCAAGATGGCATCTGTAGCTTGCACCCTTTCAATTTTCCCTTGAGATTCCATATTTTCCTTTGTGCCTTTGCCAGGATGAATGATGATCACCATAATAATGCCAATAAACACAGCAATGAATGTGGTTACAGTGTAATACACCACAGCCCGCATGCCCATCTTGCCTGAAGCTTTGCTATCCAGAGATGCCATCCCTAAAATAAGTAAAAAATCATTATATCAATAAACCAGAGTGTCGATCCAGTTCAGTCCAGGCTTACCCACCACAGACAGGTACTCGCACAGCTCATCTCTGGTAATACTGTTGCAGAAAAAGTGGATCGCTGCACACCAGCTGCCACTTTTGGAATATGTTGGTGGGCCGCTATCCACTTTTCCTGCAAAATTAAAAAAATAGTTAACTGTCAAAAAAGTGCAAAGGAAATCAAATACATTTGACAGGTACATAGCAAAACAGAGTGGCGTTTTCCTGGTCTGAAAAAGCAGCCAACTCCAAAGTGCTTATGATAGTTCTGGTGGCCGAAGGCTCACTTTACGGATAGCAAGCAGTGCGTTATGCTGCTATAGGCCCAGTGGCCAAAAATAATAATATTCTTGGAACTTGTCCACTCACTGTCAAATGAGGAGTAAACACCTGGAATTTGTAATGCTAGTGATGAAATAATAAAGATTTCCGTTGAAAATGGCCAGTCAACCCACATGTGATTTTTCATTTATAGGTAGGCTGAGTCAATTACAGGCTTCTTATATTGGTGACTTTAGCAGTAAAATCTCCATCTGAAGTCTATAGCTTTGTTTACCCAGGAGCTTAGGCTGTACTGAAACACCATGCTACTCCTCCCCCTAAATTATGTATATTATCAAACAATTGTGAAATACAGCAGGAAGTTCTTGTAATGGCTGCAGCAAGACTGCTGGCACTTGAATCACATACAGGGATTTCACCACTTGAATCCTGGTACTCTTAAACTATAAGGTTCTTTAACTCTCCAGCACATGTCAAATTTTGATAAAGTATAGGCTAATTATGAATTCCTCGGCTGGGGACCAAAGGACTTTAAGTAACCAAATTCTCTTGTCAACAATGACCCTCTTATCAACAAGCCTTTTTTATTTTGTGTGCTACCCACCCAAGCCAAAACTCCAGATCTCCTCAATCTTTCCTCTACAGAAAGCAACCTTTGATTTAGTCTAGGACAACAGCCTAGAATTCCTAGAAATGTTCTGCATTGCCACAAATGGTTGAAATGTCTAAAAATAAATGGCACAACTTGCCTCTATATTATGCCAATAGCTATATATATTTATATCAGCCTATTTTTTTTTTATCATTATGCTCTACCCTAGATGAGCTCTTAATAACACCATACAACTGGAAAGCCCTTATGTGGGAACACTCTCAGTCTCTTTTTGCTATCCATCACCATTATCCAGTCTTTCCCATCCATAGTTTCGGAATTGTTTGACAACCCTGAATTTACTCCTATTTAGAAAAATAGGTTAGTATCCTAAACCTCCTGTAGGCAGAAGTATAACCCTACTGCTTCAGAATTCCTGTGTCTCTCAATGGGCAAGAAATAAATCACAGGTTTCTTTGATCACACGTTGATACATTTTCTTGGATAGTATAATACAAATGTGCTAGATTTACTATAAAAAAAAACAAAAAAAAACTGATCATTTTATAAAATGAACAAAGTTTCTTTTAGGTTGATTTTACAACATTAGCACTTACCGGTCACCAAACTGGACACTATAAGAGGCAGGACTAGCATCTGGAGCATCCTCATAAGCAGCTCTCCAGGAAAGGAAAAATATTTCACTTGTCGATAAGACATCTTGTAGGGTCTCAACGCAAATGCCAATACAATACCTGGAACATTATATCACAATAATTAAGACTAACATGGCCAGGAACTTTGTACAAATATTATAACTGTTGTTTTTTTAATATGCTACATCATGCAGATATCAATCAAGCAATGAATGGGTGGTCAGGAAGGGCATTTCTTTGCACAAGTGGGTGGTCACAAATGTAAGAACAGAGCAGCATTTAATTAATTCATATTGAATTTCTTGGTTTGGTGAGTTTTTATTAAAATAAAACTAACTATATCAAGTATTGTTATTTTAATCCTTTTACATACATCAACTAGACAACAATGCTATGGAATACTACTGGATTGGCAATTCAGAAAAATTCATACAAATCTACCACTAAATTGCACCAGATGACCATGGCACACGGGCATGAGTGGCACTGCAAGGATAATTAAAAATGCTTTGAGTTGCCCAATTACTTATATGAACAATTATAGGAGAGTGAACTACAGTCAGAAGTTCACTGAAAGAAATGTGTCTTTTTCTGGCAAAACTTGGAGCGAAGGAGAAATGGAAAATATTATATAGCTGTTGTACATACTCTCCAGATTCTAACAGAATCTGGGAGGGTTTTTTTTTAAAACTGTAAAATGAGTTACAATACATAATGGATATAACATGCTCTTTCTCCAGACCTATGCTATTTGTATACAATGTGTAAATGATGAGAATATAAGCATATAATACTGTACCCAGCACTACGGCTAAGACGGTGAGTATCACAAAAGCATTCCGATAGAGGAACGCACGGATGCTTCCCACTGTCACTTTAGGCATTTGCTTCCCAGCTCGCGATGCCCTTTTCTGTATTGCGTGTTGCCAGCTGTGTACACGGCCATCCGATTTTTCACCTTTTGCAGAATCATCTTTAAGAAACAAGCTGTCGGCATTTCCATCTTTCTCACTCATTGTGAGATAATGAAGCTAGACTTCTAATTTTACACTGAAAAGAAAAGATCAGACTTGATTAGTATTCGTATGCTGAGCATTTTATAACAGTAAACATTTGAAAATAATAGTAAAATATACGGAAGAAAAAAGTACATTTCCTTTAAATGCATTTGATTGGACTACAGTGCTTCACTGTTTCTTGCAATTAATTACACCAACAAATTGAAGTAGTACATTATCCATAGGCAACAGATGATCCACCTAGCATATTGGGTGTCTGGCTGATCTAACACGTCACTTCTTCACACATTAAAAAAGCACACTGTGGTATTATAAGCATGTATGTTAATGAAATAATGAAAGGGCTGTTTGGATGACAGTTTGTGCCTGCACACCCTACTGCCAAATAATGTCAAAATAGTTTATAGAACAAGTTCTACCTATGTGGTATATATAATAACTATGGGGATCCAAATACAAAACAATACTAAAACATATAAAGTGTGTTGTATATCAACTACACTGGCAAATGTAGACAAGAACATGCAACAAATGTAAAATACATTTCTATGCACCATAGCACCTTGCTGGTGTCAGGAATAAGCTTGGAAAGAACCAAAAGGTTGCACTGAGCAAAGGAAATCATATGGAAATGGGTAAACAAATGTCTATTGCATTAGGGTGAGCACACAAAAGTACAGGGAGCCTGGAAGGTGGTCATGTGAACACCCGTCTGGCTTCCTAATTGGATGGGAGGCATGCTCCCTCGCACCTTCCCAGTCACCGAGGGCTGCGGCTCTTCTGTGAGGAATGTAATTGGCAAGTGCTGCTGCGGAGAGATCTTTGTGATCTTTCCGCTGGCTCAGTGACTAAAAACACAGCGCTAGCTGTTGCAGTTTGTTGATGTGCTTAGGGAGATTAGGGTGTGACCAGGCACGCCCATCACACCCTGTGCACACGCCTATGCTTACATGGTACCTTTAGGTTATGGTTACTATTCATCCTTATTTCCTGGGGACAGTCCCTGATTTGAGAGAGTAAGGGGTAACAACTACCCCTTACTCATTCTCAAGGGGGGGGGGCAGCATCTGGGTGCCCCTTTATGAAAGAGGGTACCCAGATGCAGATGAGCCCTCCTGCCTGCAGACCCTCACTGGGCCAGGATTGTGGAGGAGGAGGCCCTTGTCCTCAACGGCATGGGGACTAGGTGCTTTTCCAGGGGGTCCCCTCCTGGAAAAGCACCCTCCCTGTGCCGCCCCACTGGGGCATAGAATATGTTATTAGGATTGTTAGTAGATGAGAATTTATATAGATTGTTTCCATATACCATTTTCTATAGTCATTCTATATTTAGTTCCTATGTTGCCATCTAGTGGCCTTTTGTGGTAGTGTATGTATTTTTCAATGTTGCCTTCCTTGATATCCCTGAGGTCGATGACACAGTTCCTCTTTATGTAAGCCCCACCCTTCTTCCTGAGTGCAGTGCTTCCTGTGTCATGGCCACAGCTAACAGGCCACATGTAACTAGGACACATGTACTCTACATAGTACGCTAGAAAAGGCATCATTTTTTGACCACATAATACTGAAAACCATCCATCTGCTGTATCCTGTTTGATGTGCAGAATAAAGCAACCTTTCTGGATGAAACGGTATTGGTTTAGTTCAGCTATCTGACAATGAATGTCCACAGTGATTTAACTGCTTATACAGGCCAGGCATAGAGGTCTCACAAGGGATAAATCGCTATCACAACAATCGGAGTCAGAATACTCCCAATGCCAAGGGCATGTGGCTTGATATGGCTCATTTCCTGCCTTGCCAGGCCAGTGCTCGGATGAAGGGTCTGGTTGGGAATTTTGGGGGGACCCCATGGTTTTTCTTTTCGCTCTTTCGGCATTGGGGTCCCCCTTAAAATTCCTGCCAGACCTAAAGGATCTGGTATGACGTGGAACCCCACACATTTTATTTTACATCGGGGGTCCCCTCTAACATTCCTAAAGGGTCTGGTATGATTTATGAAGAGACCCCATGCTGGTTTTTCTTTTTTACACGCCTCTAGCTAAATGTTATTAGGAGTGGGATAAAATTTATGGAGATTCAATATAGAAATAGATGTTAATTTTTAGTTTTTGACCATAGATACTCTAACTTTCCCCACAAAGTTCCTTTCTTTGCTTGTGTGTCCTCTTCTCTGACTGAAATGAAGTGAAGTGATCAGCATGTATACAGATCATATACAACAATCCTGACCCTAGCTGCTAAATGACAGAGGGAATGTACAAAAGTCAGGGGTGGGATAACCGAACACATGCTGGTGTGGTTGATTAGTTGAAACTTCTTTAGCGCTTTAGATGCATTTAAAGTGTAACTCCACAGAAAGTGCAATTACACACAGATTTAGTGACAAAGTATATGGTATATCTTGCATTTATTTAAAAGGAGCCAGGAACGGCCCACTTCTAACATCTAGTCCATCCTGCATGTTTAGCCAGGATGGAGGGGGAAAATGATTACTTTGAGGCTTTTGCAGACAGGCCATGCAAGATCTTCAGGGATAAGTGGCAAAGAGGACGCTTTTTTTATGCTTTGCAATGTGCTGGGAATGATGGAAAACATAGGAGATTTTTTGAAAAATGTGCAGAAAGGTGAACTAACCCTTTAAAAACAAAAAGGGACAGCAACAATGCTCACCTTAAAGTAGTATTAAAGGAGAACTATGAGATGAGTGCTTTTCACTCACCTCATAGTTCTAGCCGACCTGTGACAATGAGACTGTCACAGGTCAGCTCAGTAGATCGGGAGGTGAGCGAACACATACCAGGTTCGCTCACCTCTCGATCCTGTCACGGCTCTCTGCCGTGACAGGGGAGGGGCTGGATTCTCCCCGCTCCGATCCCCCAACGCTGACTGGCGGAATGGACGGGGGAGGGGGCGGGTACAGCTGGCTCTGCCTCTAGGTAGGCAGAGCCAGCTGTCAGTCACGCAGCTGGGCGGATCCAGACATAATTGTTGGGATCCGCTTCAGCTGCCGCGTCTTAGTATACCGCGAGCAGTAGCTCGCAGTATACTGCGGCGCCTCAGTATACCGCAAGCTACTTCTCGTGGTGTGCTGAGCCTAGGGTGACGGGAGGACGCTAGTTGGTGTCCTCCCGTTACCCTAAGGTGAACTATGGGGAAAAGCCTTAACCCCATAGTTCTCCTTTAAGGTCTGGGTGTTTTTTACCTTACTGCATTCTCGAGGAATTAAAAAGTTTTAAAGTTTTAAAGAAAAGCAGCAACAGCCTCCAGCAAAGGAGGGTCTACTTAAAAGGAAAAAAAATCTAAATAATGAGGCTTTAATATCACTTTAAAAGAAACCTGAAAATCAGCCTGGTTTTTGACAGGCCTGGTAATTCAGTAAATCTTCATCGACTAAATCCAGTCAGTCACAAAAAAAATTGCCAGCTAAAGGGACAGCCTCTAGCATACTGTACAACGCACAGCACACATGAATCTGATTTTGCACAGTGTATCCAAACATTGTCATTATAGACAAAATAAGGATGTTTTCTATTTATAAATACTGTTAGCACAAACTGTTCAAGGCAAGACTCTGAATTATTAAGAAGCAGTCACTGTGCAGGGTTATAAACCTCCCTGGATAAAGCAACCTTCAACTTTCCATAAAAAATTGACTCATTTTACCCCCCATAGGGAAACCAGAAGATTCCCTAGCTTAAGCAGTCAATTATATCATGCCATGTAGATTTATATTTATTTACTTTAACTTTTATGAATAAGGAGATAATTTCTCATATTATGTTTAGCAGGTTAATAAATGAATTGCACATTATTGTATCAGCATTGTATCGTAATGTTTCAGGTCGTGTGCAGCCAACATCAGTTTCTCCTGTCAACAAAACAGCACATCTTAGGCAGTTTTACACATGTGCAATAGATGTATTTTTTTCATACAAAATGTACAAAATATAATATGTAAATTAACCTAAAATTTTCTTTCAGAGACAAAGTATTTTGTGGTTGTTGTATCTATCTAGTTAAGGGGCCAGTCCATCAGAAAGTCAGATTTACTACAGGTGCAAACCTCCCAACTGTCCCTCATTGGGAGGAACTGTCCCTCTTTTGAAACTAAATCCCTCTCCTGTCCCCCTTTCCTTTTTGGTCTGATGTACAGATTAGGGATGCACCAATGCTGGTATCAGTATAGGTGCCGATACTAGCCATTTTCACAAGTACTCACAGCCCATCTGAGAACCCGCACAGGCCTCCTGAGACCCCGCACAGCCACCTGAGATCCTCCGCTGAAGACATAAAAGGCGGCCTTTATATTATTCTGTACTGATGTATAATGCATTGCTGTGATTTGTAGCTGGTTGCCATTTGGCATTGCTGCATAATGTATGGCTGGGACTTGTAGTCCTCTATAGTTGATGGTATTCTGTATTGTTGGGATTTGTAGTCCTCTATAGCAGCTGGTATCCTGCATTGTTGTATAATGTATTGCTGAGATTTGTAGTCAGTGGCAGAACTATCAGGGTTGCAGTGGCTGTAGCTGGGACTGGGCCCTGGAACTCCACCACTGTCCTATCAAACTTTTCGTCCGATGATCGAACAGTCATACGATTTTCGTACGGCGGCCCCATCCTGCCCCGATTATCGCAAGGTTGAATCAGCAGTAATTAAAAAAACACCTGGACGAATGCACGTATTTTCATTTGCGCAAGAGCAGTGTAAATTGTACGAATTTTGACGTACGGAAACACCACCAACCTTGCGAAAATCGTACGATCGCCCAAAGTTTTCGAACCTGCTGGATAGTTAAAAGTCGATTGATTGTACAGTATTTGCGGTTGTACACTGCCCATCAACCTTACGAATATCGGACGAAAACAATTCTGGGTCTAACCAATCAACATTGGCATATAAGTTCTTAATGGTTCACCTAACTGGGTGCATGCAAGTGGTGTGCAGGGGTTTGACAAAATACATTGATTGGAAGGTGTCCCTCTTTCTCATCTCAGAAAGTTGGGAGGTATGCAGGGGGAGCCCG